CTACTTTGCCAAAGGTAGCTCAAAAATGTCTTGCCTAGTCTGTCTGTCCTACCGATATCCCTTCCCGCCTTTTCAACCCACCTCCAATGCCNGGAGGGGCGTGGTTTATTAAAAAATAGGGCTACAGTTCTATCAAGTGGGTCGTATTTTTTGGGGTGGTTTGAAAAAAAAAGAAGCATTGCCCATCGAAAAAAAAAAAAAAAACACCTCTGTAAAGCTCTCGCAAGGGGTGTTCGAATGAGCCATAGTTTTTCGCGGGGTTCGCGCTGCGAGAAAAGTTATGGCCCTATTAAAGGGATTGGATCCCCAATTCTGCCCTGACGGCTGCATTTCTTGTGCCCTTGGAGCTCCAAGGATGATTCGTGCTGCTTTCATCTGCGCCGCCTCGAGTTCTTTTACTACCTTGTTATTTCCTTCCCTACTTCTCCGGCGTACTCTAGCAGCGGCACGGTTATTACGCTCTTCAAAACCGTCAATCAATTTGATGTGTGTATCGAGGTGCCGGTTTGCGAGTATTGGGTGCAGCTTCCCTGCTCGTGCTTTGCCCTTTTCCGCTATCTTGGGCATGTGTGCATTCCACGAGCAGTCTTTTGCGATCTCTACTCCGAGGTATGTATGTGTACTGACTGGTCCTACTGCAATCTCCTCGATCCCCCACTTCCATCTATGTTCTACTGGTTCCTCCTTGTTCTCGTTGCATACCATGACGGCACTCCTCTGAAGGTTGGCAGACGATCTCCACTTATCAGTAAACTTCTTCGCCGCGTCAATTTGCAGTTGCAGTCCCTCAGGGGTGTCCGACATACCGACAAAATCATCCGCAAACAGCATTCCTGAAACCGACGTTAACGTGTCCCCTACTCTCACTCCCTTCCGGACTGCGTCTATCTATGACTTCCAACAGATCGTTGATGAACACCAGGAACAATGCTGGGGACAGCGTGCAACCTTGTGGGGCCCCCTGCTCAATGTCGAAAAATTTAGACAGTTCTCCGTCTAGCATGACCGCGCTTTTCGTACACCCTGTCTCTTCTTCAGCACTCTCCACATTTTCCCCTTGATCCCGCATTTGGACGAGTTGTTTCCACAACCCATTTCTCCATACGGTGTCGTATGCCTTTTTCACGTCCAGGAAGAAGCAGTACGTCGGCTTTCCCGCCCTCTTTCTACCTTCGATGATTCTCCCTACCTTGAATACGTGGTCCACGCACCCCCTCTTGTTCCGGAAACCTGCCTGGCCCTCACTAATGCTATGTTCCTTCTCCAATACTCCCACTATCCTATCGTTCAGCAGCTTACAGAANTATGCCTTTTTCACGTCCAGGAAGAAGCAGTACGTCGGCTTTCCCGCCCTCTTTCTACCTTCGATGATTCTCCCTACCTTGAATACGTGGTCCACGCACCCCCTCTTGTTCCGGAAACCTGCCTGGACCTCACTAATGCTATGTTCCTTCTCCAATACTCCATCCTATCGTGCAGCAGCTTACAGAACACTTTTCCTACTGTGTTCAACAGTAGTGTGATCCCCTTGTAGTTTCCTGGATCAGTCTTGTCTCCTTTCTTAAACAAGTTTACAACCACTCCTCTCCATCTACTTGGCGTATACANTGTTCCTTCTCCAATACTCCATCCTATCGTGCAGCAGCTTACAGAACACTTTTCCTACTGTGTTCAACAGTAGTGTGATCCCCTTGTAGTTTCCTGGATCAGTCTTGTCTCCTTTCTTAAACAAGTTTACAACCACTCCTCTCTCCCTCCATCTACTTGGCGTATACTCGTTTTCCCACACCCAATTGTATAGCAGTACCATAAGCTGGATCATCCCCTTCCCCCCAAACTTCATGAACTCGTTGACTATCCCATCCGCTCCTCCTGCTGCTTTGTGGCACTTCAGCTTGTTCACACACCCCTCAACCTCGTCCTCAAACACCGAGGGGGGGGGCTTGTTTTACAACTTCATTGTCAAGCGACGAAAACCCAACCCCGATGGCAAACACCGGGCGGGGGGGAGGGAGGTGTACTCCGGGGGGGAGGGAGGGGTGTGGTATATTACTATTTATCATAAGTAAAAAATGTTGCTAGCAGCAAGAAAAAAAAAAATGACTGCTGTTGTGCTTCGCTTGTTGGTTCGAGCTTCGATCGAGAAATCTCAAAAGCGTTCAAGCGTGTGATGGGTAACCAGGCTAGCACGGGAGGCACTGCTCGCACACTAGGCCTTCGCGCACAAAAGTGTAGAGAGGCGTACAGCAGTACATGTCGCACCAATGGTGGTGCGTAGCAGCGTCTGTCTGTGTGTTGTTGGTGTCATCATGTGCGCCTCTCCGCGGAAAGGAGAGAGAGACCGCTGCTGCTGCTGCGGCAACCAAATGTTGATCTCTCCTCTCGCTTCCTCCGCCGATAGCTACCGTAAGAATCGGGGTCTTCACACACTGTGCGGTCGCCTTTTCTAATGTCGTCGTTCTTCGCACAGGGGTGCGGAGACGCCGATATGTGCGGAGACCCCGATACATTTGCGGAAATCGAATTAAATGATTTGGTTGTACAGCAGTATTATCGCACACCCCGTGCGATGACGCCGATATGTGCGGTATTGAATAAAATTGAAGGGGGGCAAGGTGGGGTGCTTTGAACGCACACCCTGTGCGAAGACTCCGATATGTGCGCTCCAAATGAAACTACAGCGGACGTTGCAGTACTCCACGTGAAAGGTAGTCCTGCATGATCCGTCAAAACACAGGAAAAAAACACGCACACACATAGATACACATCCGAATTTTGGCCCCCTTCCAGGGACCTTGATTTTTACCCGCTGGCACTGACGTCTTTTATTGGTCAGCCGGTTAGCGCGGTCGATGCCAATAATAAAAACACACACATACCACACACACGGCACCAATCGAGTCATCGTTGCTATCGCCAACCACTTGGCGCACGAAGCTTGTTGCCGGGGGAATTTTGAAGACGAAAGAGCCTTAGTTCGCCTGAAAGCGTTTCATACTAACAGGATTCGGAGACGGTTTACCTTCGAGCTAGCTCGTTTTCTGTCGATGCGAACTCACTCGCGATGTGTTCAAACGTCATGGGCTACTGATCGACCAACTTCCACCAGGGCCAATCGGTTGGGATCTCTGCGACAACGATAGTAGTGGGGGTAATTCTTTTGGGAGTGACGAAGACGAAGGAAAGGGCAAGGGAAGCAAGGAAGNTGGTCAGCCGGTTAGCGCGGTCGATGCCAATAATAAAAACACACACATACCACACACACGGCACCAATCGAGTCATCGTTGCTATCGCCAACCACTTGGCGCACGAAGCTTTTTG